ATGTATACATATATATATATATATATGAGCCCGACACCTTTAGGGTATATTTTGCTAGCCCTTTATATATACAATATAAAGCCCCCTAGCTAAATCCTGCATAGGCATATTAGACAGCGTGCAGACACAACACCCAAAGGTTTCAGACACGTCTTCTGACATGCTTTAATAAAGAATATCCAAATACCCTGTATGAATCACCTCTCGGTCGGCATGCACAAATGATGTATGCATCGTCTTCTACACCAGTCCAATGACTGGCACCATCTCATGGATCGAACTCACGTACAGTCTTGTTTTCGGTTTAGTGATCTTGCGATACATGGAAAATCGATATACAATGTCGGTAACTTGAGTTGGGAACAGACATCCATGTCAAAGGCACCCAAAACACTCCTTGGTACTCAGCTTGTCGGACAGGACGTTGTATACTGTCGAAAAATAAGACATTTGTACTGGAGCAGTCACGCTAAGGACATATGTGTTGTATGTCGGCGTGTCTGATCGTGTGTTCAAGAAAGGCCTTATATCGAAGCAGTTATAAACAATGCAAGGAGCTTACTGATGCAAGGCTAACGTATAAGCGCAAGTCGTCCGCCCTGCTTCTATATGGTCCGAGTTGCCCACCACTCCAGCAAGGTTTCAGATCACCTGGCAGGCGGCTGTCGTCAGGTACAGCCCATACGTGTAGAGCATACTCAGTCCGGATTCGCACAGAAACCCTCGGCCCTTGTTTAAATGCGAACACAGCGTGCTGCCTGCATCTTACGAGGCGGGGCGCTTTACGCCCGCACTTCTCAAAGTGTGGATGCGTTTGACCGATATAGGAGTCGCCCGCTTCCTCCGACCACCCAGTCTATTCGGACGGATGGCCGGCTTCTTGTTGACCCACCGCCTGACTAGTCGAACTTCCTGCAGTCTGGACTTTGCCAGGGGCAGTTCAGCCTTGCACTGAGGGCCGGCGGTCTGCTGCTGGGCACACCATGCATTCCATTCTTCATGAGTCCATATGGATTCATGGAGGGCCCGTCCAAGGAGCATGCTTGCGCTCACGACATGAGACATCGGAAATCGAGTAGACAAATGATGTTGCAGTGTCTTGATGTACATAAAATACTGCAACTTCAGTGCTAACGTGGATCTGTGCATTACGTTAGTGGTCCTGGTCCAGGAATTGATTTCAGCATGCAGGGCTTCATTGCTGGATGTGCCGCTCGGTATAAACCAGAGATAAGACGTCCTGATGGAGTGGCGGACCCTGATGTTATTCATCAGCCATTCCACCCTATCCGGCGCACATGCTGACCAAAGTATCTTGTTGATCTCTTTGTTGGGGCCCGCCGCTTTGCGTGTGACCTCATGTTTGTACCGACGGCATAATGCAGCCACTGCTTTGATGAAATCAAGGCGACGCATGAAGGGCACATCCGGGTTGAGACTGTCCAGCAGGCGAGCCGTGTGGCTGTCGGACATCGAGCAGTCGAGGATCATGTTCCTCACTCGGGTTTCTTCGTCACCAAGTGGTCGCGCCATGCTGCCGTCATACGGCGACTGCCAGTACTGCTGGTCTGTAGTCGTGTCCACGGCAACGAATTTCAGGAGAATGCGGCGAAGTTGTTTAGAACCGGCACTCTTCTTATTCCAAAATCCGTACTCGTACACGATCGCCAAGTGAATCGGGTCCAGCATGAGAGACTTCAGGTTCGGACAGATCAACTGCAGTTGGGCAAGTAGTTTTTCTGACGGGCTGTCAGTGCCAACATGATGCACCGAGTTCAACTGCTCCACGGAGAAGTTCTGTTGCATGGCCTCCACTATCTGTTCGGAGGATTCGCTCTGGAGAGGGTGCATCATAAGGACAGCCCCGGTCCTGCCGCGAATAGTCAGTAATCGTCTCCATGCGGTGGTGTCGTCGAATGGAGCCTCGTCTCGCACTTGCTTGGGTGCTCGATAGGGAGCCTGCCCCATGACCTTCATGCAGAGTTTGAGAGTGGCATCCATACTAATATAATGCCACTCATCACCGCACATGAGGGCTTCCGTCATTTTCTCCATTTTGTTTTGGAAAGCATTGGAGCTGGTGATATCCTCCAGCATGGGCATCCAGCGTGTAGACCATGTGGGGAGCAGAGTGGAAAGTCTGCTCCCTGCTTCCATGGCCGCCATGTGGCATCTAACGGCCAGAGATCTCACCTTAGTATGACACTATGAGATTGTCATATGTTCAAAAAAAAAAGTCATGCGGCATACAGCTATTCCGCCAGGCACCTGGGCATGTCCCATGATCATTTCGCGGAGCAGCAGGTCGGCGAAGGAGTGTGTGTAGTAGAGATTGAGTGCTCGTCTGACCTGCAGTGTGGAGCCAATTGCTGACAGATTGACATATCGAGGTCCCGCTGCATCGAGAACCAGCCTTATCTGTTTGTCTATGTAACTGATGCGCTCTCCGAGGGCAGGCTCTATGGTTCTCCGCATCAGAGATGCACTCGCCTGCAAGAAATCCGATACAGACGTCTGGGACGATGCAGCATGGTCATAGAGTGCCAAAATGACTTTCACCTGCTTGGTCCCGGAGTACACGAACTGATTCTTTGCGGTGTGGTGCTTGTGCACATGAGTTCGGAGAAGTCGGAGTTGTGCAAAAGACCGAAATGGACAGAAAGGACATCTTCTTCTCCCATCAACCATAGGTGCCATGTTCGCCAGATTCTCTATAACAGAATCCCTTTCACGACACAGAGAAGAAAGGATGTTATCAGAGATAACAGGAGCGTCGTTTTCGTCCCCAGTGATTCTGTTGTAGCCCAGGGTTGATGCTCCGTGACCCCCCACGTCTTCATGTGAATCATCGGAGTTATCAGGAGTACCAGCGACCATGTCCAGGAGCAAGGCCGCCTTCTCATCGAGCTTGTCTTTGGGATCCCGCTTCCAGTACGATACCACAGTAGCATGGTCCACCGCAGCACAGTGCATCTCTTGAAGGGTTTTCATATCGAGTCTATACACTGTGGCACCATCAATGACGGTTGCACTAACTCCAGGACCGTCTACTCGAACGGCCACACAGTGGGGAACACCGTCGCCTTCGTAATGCAGAATAAAAGACTTGATGTGTGATGCTGGGAGACCGACGCAACAGGCAAGATCCACGGAGCATAGGGACGACAGCGAACGGTAGTCCCTGTAGCGGAGCTTCGCTGCCTCGACATTCCGCGGCAGAGCTTCATCAGATATGGCACTGGTCACATTCGGTCTGGAGAGGGGCACGATGTGCCACAATGCACAAGGTATGCAATTCCCGGCCTTGAGTAGGACTGCGGGCACGTTGGTCAGTGCATTGGCATGGGTGCCCTTACTCTTCACCAACTCAATGAAGGATGAGTGTTTTTTGGCGACGATCTTAACCTGGAAGCCGGTGTGCTTGTAGATGGCGTCTTGGCACGCCTTGATATAATCTTCTTGCGATGCTCCCACGTGATCCGCTGAAACACGAATACCATCAAAATGTAGCGAAAGATGTCCGGGTTTGTTGGGGTTTTGCAACACATGTTCGGTCCAGCTTCGGATTATCACATCTTCAACCGATGTCCACATGAGGGACATAATTGTAGAAGACGGAAAGGTTTTCTGTTTGTTGTCCGCCAGTGACATGTAGTCGTCATGAAGTAGGTTACAAGCCATCCACCTGAAATACTGCGACATCCGCTGCAAGCCTCGAACGACGTCGTGACTCCTCAAATTCGCGGGTGGATTACCGCCATTGAGCACAGTGTTGATGATTTCTTTGCCTTCGACGATGTGAAGCCCCATTTGCTGTAAGACACTAGCTCTGTCTGTCACCAGGCGATTCAAAAGTCCAACCAGATCATCAGACATCGGTGGATATGGTTTGACCTTGGTCATGATCTGCTGCATCAACGTGAGACAGCAGTTCTGGATGTCGAGGTCGACGGTGTGGCCATCCACTACATGGTATTGCAGTCGGCGAGACATGGCTTGTACACCGCCGTTTGTTGTATAGCGCCTCGCCCGCACCGAGTATTCCTGTTTGTCGGAGTAACCATAAGTGACAGTTCGAGTCTGCTTGCAGGATGTTGCCATGCCTGCATCCGGTGCGCCTTGACTGGTTGGACCACGACCTGGTTCCTCCACTGATTTCTTTTCTCTCAATCTCCTTTGCTTCGTCACCACCAGTTTTTGGAGAGCCTGCTCGTGATCATCGAGCTTGCGAATGATGGACTGGTACTTCGCCCGGATCTCCTCATGCTCAGCGGTCTGTCTCCCCCTCCTGGCTGCTGGCATCAATGATGTGTATAGTTTCTTCATTGTCTCCATATTCAAAGACCTGCCGCGGCAACTGTACGCGTACCTTGTGGCCAGGCCCACGTCGTGCTCCTCCTCGAAAGACATCCGAACACTGTCCAAGGGAGGCTGTGGACAGATGTCTCCATGTTTCCGACTAAATGTGAACTTGGGGATGAAGGCACCGGGCCTCTCCTTGCTAGTCTTGCCTCGGATGACGGCAGTGCGGACCACACCCTGCTCCAGCAGCTGGTCCCACATGGCGCCCTTTGCCAAATTAGGATGTTCCTTGGGCTTGAAGGAAAGCTTCTTGAATTCGTAGTAGGTGATGACGTCGAGGTCACTATCCAGCATGTGAGCCATGAGGAAGTCCCGTAGATTATTCCATTCAATGTCCCTTTCTTGTTGTTCATCTGCACTCTCTTGGTCAGCTGCCAACAAATTGCCCAGACCCTCCTGTTCATGTACTTGTCGAAGCCGGACCGGCAATCCACAGGCATCTCGCATCACATCTTCAGTAAGATAGTTGTCTCCTCCGTTGCAGTAATTCTCGATGAGTTGATAACAATCTTCTTTACTGTGATCCACCTCGAAGGCCCACTGCAACTTCAGCCCGGCAACGGAGGCCTGTGAGGTCACGAGGAACTTGTTGAGGCTAGGGTCTGCTTCGAAGATTCCATCTTGTTCGTGGTCGGGATAATTTTTCAGGAATTTCCCGTGCACGAAGCGGGCCTTGGCCTTCCACACAAAGGATCTGCGAAACATCGAGTTGAAGTTGTTATTGCTCACCCCCATGAAGGCCATGACGCGATTCACCTCGAGTCGGGTCCAGCCTATCGTCTGGAACATCCGCGTGGTGTAACCGTACGGTTTCCTTCCCATGATCCCGTCTCCGGATATGGTCTTCTTGTATAGATCGATGTGCAGTTTTTTGCTCGTCTCCGGTGCTTCTTGCCCAGTCAGAATGAAACAGCGGGCAAACGACTCTACCTGCTTGCGCAACTCCTCATCCAGGTGCCAAATATTGGGGTCGAAGAAGGCATGATTGTGTTTATACATCTCGGAGATGTGCAGCGAGTAGAGACTTTGGCCGACCCCTCCGGGAGAGATTCCGATGAAACATCGATCCACGTTAAGCCCTCTTTTTGCAATGGCTGCAGCCGCCTGAAAGCATTTGAATACGTCCAGATTGCACCAGAACGTTCTCTCGTAGAATTTGTGGAGTCGCTCCATGTTGGCGTCAAGAACAGGATCCAATAGCGGATGAGGTATCCGGACGTAGCAATCATTCTGAGGTCCCTTCCGTATAACTTCCACAGAATGAGGGGAGCCAGGTCTGTCGTATGCAAAGCAGATGTCCTCGTAACATATGGTGGACGACCGTCTGTCTTCTGATTCGCACCATTCAACGAGCAAGGCCACCATCCTCGTCTGCATGAGTTCCTGCTTCATGGTACAGGAAACTTTCCAAGACCTCTCCGCCAGGTCCATAGTCCAAACTGCACCAGCGTCACATCCAGCATGTTGAGGATCCGGGGCTTCCCCCTCCTCCTCTGGTGCAGGAGCATCCAACCGTTGTGAATAAGCTGGAACGTCCGATCGTTTGCATGTTGCAGCTCTGCACGCATCAAGAAATTCCAGCTCCGTCTCGAAATTTTGCAAGTCCGCCACGATTGCTTCAGCCACACGATCTGCTCCGCGACGTGTCTGCGGCTTCATTCGTCGGAAAAGTCCTTCAAGACAACAGAAGAAATCATGAACGCGATGAAGAACTGCCTCTGGAGGAATGCCACCAAACGGCAGGAAACACCCATCATCGTCGTATATGTAGAGGAAACCCTTGTGAACTCTCATATGACGATCACCCTCCACCATCCATACGATGGCTGCTGCATCAGGCAGCATGGGCTTGTCTCCAATCTTGCCCTCCGACATATGGGCTGCCACCATGATTAGGCGCTTCAGCTGCTCCGACAGCCAAGGGTACTTCTGATGTAGGTGTCCCAACGTCTTTCTTGTGTTCTGAAGAATTGTGTTTGGCTGCAAGCAGACGTCCGGACCATACCCATCCAGGGTATCCTTGATGATATCCAACGACCGTCTGAACATTGTATTACAGTCTGCAGCATGTGTGGCAGCACCGGGCATGAGTCGTCGCCGTTTTGTCATCAGGGGTCCTGCTGTGTCGTCGTCCTCCATCATCAGCTGTTCCAACGCTGTCTCCATGTCGTCCTGCGTCGGGACCGGTGCAGGGAGCTCAACACGGAATGGAATGGTGTCCGGGATGTCGTCCTGACTGTTCTGCCTGGGCGGGATTCCGTCGGACTCTGCTTCCTCACATTCTCTTTCATTAATCTCCTGGCGAGGCCTCTCCGAATTCATGTTCTTCATGTCTGCCGTGCCCTGTGTATTGTGAATGGAGATGGCAGGTTTTTTGTCTCGACAACATTGCATGAGTGCACCAACGATGGACTGCATATCGGGCACATCATCGACAAAGCCGTCAGGCAAGTAACGCGGATGCACGCAGACAACCTTCATGGTCGCCACCGAAATGTTGTAGTACCTCTCCAGTATCCACTTGTAGATGTTCAGCTGCAGCCTGTAATGTTGTCCCTGGCAGTCGTCCACTTCATGCAGTGGAGAATTCATTTTCTTGCCGTAGCTAACGTACTTGTCCTGCAGTTTTTCACTGCGCTTCCAGTCCACAAGGTGGAAAATGTCAGCGTCCCTGTCCTTCAGGACCAAGTCGATCGAGCCCGCCAAATCTTCTTCTGGCGCACAAATGCACCACTCGGTGCGGAATACCACCATGTTACCGAGCTCCGACAAGAAAGTGATGACGGCAGCGAGCTCTCCGCGCATGGGTCCAGGCTGTATTTTGTATCCGTTTAGCAGATGCTCGAACATTGCATGCATCCATGTGCCTGAATTCGCTGCAGTGCTCCTTTTGTTGTCCCATGCCAGCAATATCTCGTCATCAGACATGACCAGCTCCCGCACGATGTCATCCCAGCCAGAGAGGTCCGATTTACTGAGTGCGAAGAGACGACATATTTCGGGAATGTCTGGTTCGTTCTGCCGGAGAAGGTAGACCAGGTCTGCCTGATATTTGAAATCTGTGCCCATAAGTAGGTTGGAGATCGTCCTCAGGTTGCTCGCCGGGTCCACATACTCAGGCCGTGGCCAAGATCGTCCGGTCTTCATCTTCAATAGGGCAACCTGCGGGTCGAACTCTTCTGAATACTCATGAATCAGTCCAGTCACCTCGGGTCGGAGACAACATCAAACATGCATGCACGTGTGTGTACATGCGTTCATCAATGCGGGCAAGTGACACTGCAAGAAAGAACTTCGCCCTCATAATAATAAAGATGACCGTCAGCTGCAAAGCGAAGATGAGCATCGCGTGGACAGGAATGAACGCAAGCCAGTTCAGTGCAGGGCCGCAATCTTGATGTCGTAGTTGTGCTGTGTTCAGATGGCATAACAAAGACAGGATCACGTGGCTGTTCCAGTAGTACCGCACCAACTAAAGTCTCCAGTGACGGGATCCATCCGCCTCACGAGCATCTCTAGCAACTAATCATGTTAGCATCGTGCATGCAGTGCGGTGATGCTGACTGCAATATGATGGTACGTAAAGCCCAGTAACTCTCACCGATGATGTCGTCAACTTGCATTGGCATCTGACCTTCAGGTTCGCTTCATCACTGGCCATGTACGCAGCATGAGACACAGCATGGTCTGACACAGCACCGAACATACCAGTAATGGAGATGAGCAGCTCTGCCCCAACGTCTCCTGCACGTCCATTGCAGAGGATGCCTGGTTTGCATATGCAGAGCAAACGGACTGAATGTATTATGGACCCCATCGGATGCTGCGAAGATGCCGAACCACCCAGGAAATCTCTACCGAATGAACGTGTAGACGTGCCCGCAGTGATCCGCATCACTGCGTCAAACCGGGATAGATCAATATCTGCGGGGTGAACGTCTCTGCGATCATGTCGTCGGTGGCCGAAGCTAACCATACAGGATTGATCATTCAGAACATGGAGTGAGGTGAAGTGACCTGCTTCGAAAAGCAGGTATCGACCAGCTTCTGAAAGATCCACTTCCGTTGTATGCTCAACAGTGTACCTTAGGCTTGATGCATCTGACAGCAACTAGAAAGTTTGCCATCTAGGTGGCTCTGCTGTCTAGAAACCCAAGCGGTGCAAGCATTCGCTGCCCATCGTGAATGGCGTAGAAGGGGCCGTCGCCTTCATACGCCACGTCCAGGCCCATGGATCGAAAGGCGTCAATGAGACATACATCACGACAATGGCCTGATCGCGGAGTGTCATTGATACACCGACTTCTAGGATGCTATAATAGCAGCCTAAAAGTCACACCATCGCATGTACGAAGTTGTCTGCCTTGAACGCTGCACTCGAACTTAGAGGTCTGCGTCTTCGCTGACCTGTCTATACACGAGTGAAGGATGCATGCACGACTTGACGATCGACACTGGCCTCTTCGTGTGGACGTGCCGATCTCGGACATTCTCCTGCATCACCAATGCAAGCAGCGACCTTAGATTGCAGAGAATCACATTGTTATATGTGTTCACGATACGAGTCAGGGTACATCTTCTTGGGAAGCTTGACCTTGATCGTTTTTGGTCCCGTCCTCCTGCACATGCGAGCGAGGACATTTATGTCATGGCAAGGAATATTGGTCAGAATGTCCTCCGTGTGGTAGGCGTTTCCAGTCTGATATGGGACGTACTCGGCAGGATACAATTGTGTAGGATGATCTTGTCACCTGGATTTATGATAAGCATGCTGACAGGAAGACTATGTCAAAGAGCCTCGTGTCGACCAAGGAGCACCAAGAAGGAGTGTCCCTTGACTTCCGACCGATGTGGGAGAAACCGATCCCTTGGCACATGTACAATCTACACACCCGCAGGAAGATGACGCACAGACATATATTCTGGATGCATCGTGGCAACATCCTTCGTTGCCGACATGGTTTTCCAGCTGGGCCCGGATGTACTCCTGGTGCTCCTCCTGCGGATCGGTGGACATGCACATACACGTGGGTGATCCGAAGCATGAACGCACAGGCAAAGTATTTGCAGTAGAGTATCTTCGCGTTCCAACCGGCGTGCCTGTCATTCATAGGGCAAACAAGGTAAGTATGTCAGTACAGTTTATGCCTGCGACCGAAGTGCTCTGACAGAGATGGCTTCCACGAGGCTGCTCCAGAGAAAGTCACCAGGGACAGTCGCCGCAAGGCTCATGTATTCATCCGGCTCATACTTGACGTGCAACCTCGCGGCAACGAAGGAAGAGTGCGAAAGAATATCTAAAGTGCAACATTCGTCTCGTATGCTTCACGGCAATCCAAGTGGAGAGCGTCTCCCTGCACACTTTGGTCTGCTCTGCTGCCGACCTAACAGACGATCGGAGGCAAAGTTCTACCGAAATGAGTTGTGTAGAATATGCCGCATATAAGTGCTGTCAAGACGCTCTGATGTGACCGTCTCCTCCTCCTCCTTCACGGCATCGTGCGGGGCCCTGGCCGGCTGCTGTCGCCTGACACATTTAAGAACACGGAGTAACGTGCTCTTGACATGCTGCCTATTACGCACCTATAATGCGGTCGAGCTTCCTGGGGACGTTGGGCGTCCGGTTCTTCGTCCGGTTGGTCTGAAGGTGATCGGGCCGCTGGTAGTACGACAGTCCGCTTGGTTGCAAGGCAGGTCCGATGCCCATTTTGAAGCAGGTTGGCTCCGTAGCTGGTGCCTGCACAACCTGGCCCTTCCGATTTCTGCCGCCTCCGGATGGCTGCATGCAGAAGATATGTCGCTTGTGGTGCCTCCTTTGTAGTCCGCTGGTTGGGAGCCAGAGAGGGGCTAACGAGGCCCATCGAGTGGTGGAGTCCGACGACCGCAAAGGATGCAAACCTGGAGATCACGCTAAACTGCTAAATTTGTGCGTATGTAACGCACTGCAATAATTTCATTCTAAATGATGCGCATGTCGGCCAAGCCACCGACAGGGCCTTTGGGACTTCTCGCAACAGGAGGCCCGTTTGCCACTGGACGTGGGCTTACATCGGCCGAGCCTATACAGGGCTTGACCGCATGTACAGACACAGAACTTAACAGTGGCTATTGCAGTTGGTCCTCCTGCCTGGCGAGGTCATGTTTGCCTTATGGAATTGCCATAGCCGCTCGAAGAACCTGGTCGCACAAGAAGAATCACATATCTATGTGATAAATCTGATTGTAGTGTAGTGCGGGATTTATACTATTTTTCGTCTGCATGATGATTCACTTCCGGGTGGCTTGAACTTCGCGGCATACAGGATCATGGATCTTCCGAATGCCAGCAATGCTGGGCTTACGTCGGTGAATCCTGCGAAATGTTTGAGTGGGACGTACCTTTCTCCATATTATACATGCGCTGACTCCACATTCGGGCCTGCAGGATCGAAACACAAAGGAGTCCGCGGAGTGCAGTCGGGTGACGACATGGCTCACCGGGAGGGTTATTGCAAGAATGCGGGGATTGAAGAATGCTCAAGCAGTAAGCTGCGGCAGTGCATACACGCCTATGTGACTGGACGAAAGCAGTTGCCGAAGACACGCCGCATGCTTTTGGCATATGTACAATGCAATAATTCTCACATCGGAGGCAGTGGTCGCTGATGCACTATGCATAACGTGCAGCGAGGCCTCGCAAGTGGACCGATTCGATGGAAGATAGAGGTCGTCCGCATTCAGGGCGTAGTCCAGAGTAAGCCTTTGGGAAGGTGTTGAAATGCCGAGGATAGGGTCGTGGATGCGAGTATATATAAGCTCGTTCATGCAAACACATATACCAATGCACTCGGTCATCAAACAACATACCCGGCTAAATCCCGCACATATAGATCAGGCAGTGAGCAGGCACAACACCGAAAAGTTTGGGACACATATTCGGACATGCTTTACGGGGACCTTTGCATGTGAATACATCCCACCGCTGCATAAATCAACCTCGCACTTAGGGCGTGGATCTCGTAATAAGTCAGAAGAGACTGCTTTCCTTATACATAGGCTGATCTAGAATCAGTGATTTTTGTTCCACACACTGCCAAGTTGAAGTATACGTTCAGTAACCTCAAACGGCAACGGAAGATATACATCACATTCACCACCATGGCCAACACGGGTTGACATGAGCTGATGTACCAGCTCCGCTATCAATCCGAGACTGATGATTTTCCCAACATACGGCTGATAACACATTATTGTGGCGCCTTTCAATGCGGCTGTTTCCAAGCATTCCCTGCACGGTAGACGCGCCAGTATGCGCAAATTTGCGATCGGCCCTAGCCCTTATGAGCACTTACCATACGCAAAATGTATACGATGCAGTATGTGCAATGAAGACATGTAAAATCACAGGAGCATGGCTGACAACCAACAGCACAAGCATCAGTGACTTCTTCAGAGGGAGTCGCTGTAACCTGCAGCGTGCGGACGACGTTTGCATGGGATCGTCTGTTTTAGGGATCGGGGTTGTAACGGAGCAACGACCGTCCATTTGCAAATAATGCGATGACATAGACACCCAGGATTTTCCAAATCTAATCCGCATCGGTTCATATGATTGCGTGACGACATACCTCTTAATCAACAAGAATGTCGGGACCGCCTCCAACTCCAGTTCGGGTGGTTTGCACCTGGCGTCAAAAGCTACAAGCACTGCAGAAGGACAGTGTTCTGGCAGCGATGCAGTGCATGCGAATACTTTTCTTTGGAGATGCCCTCGCATCCTTCAAGGCTTTCCAGCCAGAGGCGCCCAAGCACAAACACCGGCCTTAGGTCGGTGCGGCCTGGTTGCGTTCCAAAAACCTCGGCGCAGCTGTTCGCAAGCTTGACAGTGTCGCGGGTCCCCTTGGGGGAAGCCCGGGTAGTACTCTCCACTTGCGTTTGGCTTGCCCCTGTGGTCTGGAGCGGGTTCGCCTGGAGGGATGAAGGGCCGACGTTCGCGGCCCTTCTGTCCCTCTGGCTTACCCTTGTGCACTGCCGCCTTGGCCGCCTTGGGCGCGCCGGGGGCTTTGCTTACAACAACAGGGGCGGTGGCCGGGGGAGGTGGGTGTGCCTCAGCCTTCGGGGGGGGTGCCTTCACCAGTGCCTTCCCCTGTGGCAGTGGCACGCTGGGGCCCTTCGTCTTGCTGCTGCTGTCTGCTGCACTGTCCTCATTCTCGCTTTCGCTTCCGCTTACCTCCAGTAGCGGCGAGCCTGACGAGAATGAGGACGAACGACTCTCCTCCATATCATCAAGTTCCTGTTCCTTTTGCTTGATGGCCGCTAGGAGCTTGCGCATCTTTTTGTGGGCCTCGCGGAGCGCCCCCTTCTTCTGGAGGAACTTCGCTTTCAAGACCCCGAGGGCAAGGCGGACGGAGGAGCCAGTAGAAGGCATGATGCGGAGGGCAACAATCAGCAGAGAAGATTCTTGGGCCGAACTAATTTGCGATATGTGCTTGCTCCACGACCAATGAAGACATGTACGAATGC